GATAGATATGTCGATAGATAGACTTGATAGATCGGTGTATTAACAATAGATGAAAAGATGGCAATATGGATGAATTTAAAATTGAAAGATAATCAATATAATGATACCAAAGGAGAGAGCGAGAGAGAGAGAGGGCGAGGGAAAGAGAGGGAGAGGGAAAGAGAGGGAGAGGGAAAGAGAGGGAGAGGGAAAGAGAGGAGAGGAGAGGGAGAGGGAGAGGGAGAGGGAGAGGGAGAGGGAGAGAGAGAGAGAGAGAGAGAGAGAGAGAGAGAGAGAGAGAGAGAGAGAGAGAGAGAGAGAGAGAGAGAGAGAGAGAGAGAGAGAGAGAGAGAGAGAGAAAGAAGAAGAAGAAAGAAAGAAAGAAAGAAAGAAGAAGAAGAGAGAAAGAAAGAAGAAAGAAAGAGAGAAGAAAGAAAAAGAAAAAAAAGAAAGACAGAAAGAGCGAGAGAGACAGAGACAGACAGACAGAGAGAAAGAGAAGGAGGCGCGCCACAGCCTCCCGACATGCACCGAGCCAAGAGCCCGACCCATTGTAAAACACATCTTAATCCCCTCTTTAAAATGCCTCTCCCCGCCCGATTTAAAAGCCCGGCGTTTATCGGGGCCGGCCATCTTCCCTCGCAGCCATCCGACCGTAGGGATCTCAGGGCTTCAGGGGACCGAAAAGCCTCAGGGGCGGGGCCCGGGACCACCTCCCTGGACCGCCGCCGCCGGCCGCCGCCGCCGCCGCCGCCGCGCAGCCGCGCCGCACTCGCCGCCGCCGAGACACGCACAAAAACACGGCCATTGAATCGCGAGATCTGCCTCCCGTCGCACCTCGGCGGTCGCTCGGGAGGCCTGCGAGTCGCCGCTTGGGGTTTGGCTTCCTGAGGGCCTCGGGAGGGGCCTCGGGAGGGGCCGCGGGAGGGGCTGCGGGAGGGGCTGTAGGGGGGTCTATGGAGGAGCTGTAGGAGGGGCTGTAGGGGGAGGGTGTGGATCTGTGAAGGAGGGACTGTAGGAGTGGGGTCTGTGAAGGAGGGGCTGTAAGGGGGAGGGGGTCTAAGGAGGGGGCTGTAGGGGTGGGGGTCTGTGGAGGGGTTGTTGGGGGTGGGGGTCTGTGAAGGAGGCGCTGTAGGAGGGTGGGGTCTGTGAAGGAGGGGCTGTAGGGGGTGGGGGTGGTGCGGGGTAGAGTGGGGCTGTGGGTGTCGGATGTGGGAGTAAGAGTGGGGGGATTCATAGGGACATGGAGTGTATCCATTCCTAGAATACGCTATATAGATGATTTCGGCTTATAACGAATGATTCAGAAGAATGATAGGAGAAATAAAAACCAAGTAACTCCTCCGTGAATCTAATGAATATGATAGCATATCATAATACATTACATTCACACGCCTACATACACTTGCGCGCGCGCGCACATCCACATCTACACACACATATATAATTTATATACATAATTATATATGTCTATATATATACAATATATATATATGCATATATACAATATATATGCATATATACATATATATATAAATCATATATATAACTAAGATAAATGAATTATAATAAAAATAAATAATCAAATTCAACTCACCATAATGAAACGACGAAAAAGACGACGAGGATGAACTTGGGAAGAGGCGGTGACGACGACGACGACGACGACGACGAAGCTCCGAGGTGTAGGCCGATGGAGGGGAGGGAAGGGGGGGAGACAATCACAAACCCTCAATCGAGGAATACAATAAAAACTGGATCAAAATAAGGGACAGGAAAAGGGAGGTAGGGAGGGTGGTGGTTCGGTGGTTCGAAGCTTCGGGTCGGTAATAATTCACTGTCTCGGCCGCACGCTCCGTTGACGCGAGAACAGCTGTTGGGAGGACGAATACCCGCTCTCAATGGGGGGGAGGGGGCGGACTCTGCTCGAATCCAGCTGCCTTTGCCTCCTAATCCCAATCTTATTAATTGGATTTCATGCGTCGCACCGTTACCAACTATTTTTTTTCTCTTTCTTTTTTATTTCCAACTAGAATCCGATTTCCCGCTAGACTATTTCAAAAAAGGAAAACAAAAAATATAGTGTTGCTCTCTCTATTCTTCTCTTTGAATTTTCTTCACTGGTTTGACCAAAGACCGAGAGACAGCGAAAGCAGGGCTAAAAATTTAAAATATCTTTCCGGTGCTTCATGTAGGCTTGAAGTGCCGTAAGATCACGAATATATATATTTTTACACAATTTTATGATCATACATTCCATCGACAGTTGTAATTTTTCTTTGGGTTACACACAATTTATTTATTTTTTAATAAGCAAGATTTTTTTTTCTAGCCCCACTTCAATCACTCACTTCTTTTCCTTTTCTTTCCTTGTCTTGTGCATTTGTTTGTTTATTTATCTTTTTTTTCACTTCTTTCCTTCACAAAGTCATCACTGCTGAATCATCACCCCTGTAAAGAAAAAATGGTTAAAAATTCATACAGATGTCATAAAAATACAAAAAATATAACAGTAAAATGC